GAACTTCTTAGACTATTTTGAGATGTTCTACTCTGTGGAGGAAAGATATGAATCAAAGAAAATACTTTACCCTTAGCTTATGACCCTCTTTCCCCACCAAACTCCTATTGGGCCTATATCAGCTTCCACATTTCTTTTCTTGGTAGTTTGGTTTAAGGAAGATCAAAAGCCTATAATTCATTTTCAATAGAAAAGACCTGTCTGAGCTTTCTCATATACAATATAGAATATCATAGATCATCTTCCTAGACTATCTGAGGTCTTTAGTTTATTCTCAGGGAAAGTACTACAAAAGAACACTTGATGTTATTGAAAAATCTTAAAAAAAAAACTATAATGTAATAAAGGTAGCCCAGGTACTACTATTTCACAAAATTGTTTTCAACACAGAATAACTAAACCCCAACCTAAAGCCATCTACTTATAATAGCATCCCTCAGCCAATGCTTGGATAGCAGCTTAGCTTAGCTCTGATGTGTATTCCAATTTTGTACTTCAACTTAATAACTAAATATCAGAGGGATATAAAATACTTTATACAAACAGTTTATTTATAAGGAACAACACTTTGTTATGAGCAACCCCCATTTACAGGTGAAGAGGCATCAAGTTGATTATACAGCCTAGGTTATCCCCAAAGGAAAAGGAAAGAGAAAGAGTAATCTAAACTCTTTTTTTTTTAATTATTGGCTCAATTTCTCTCAGTCCACAGACAGTGGCCAATTGGTTGCCCCAATTCTTCAGTCTTTTGAAAAAGGACATCAAGGAAATCTGATTGCTGAATTCCCAGCTACTCCTTCTCTGACCAATTAATTACATTTTCCTGTTGTTTCTGTGCTTGCTACTTGGATATTTATTCTGATTCTCTAGAAAAATGATGTCTGTGGCTATTTATCTTAGGCTAGAGATGAGAGATCAATCCCAGAGGGGAAAGAGCTCCTTCTATCACTCCCTTAAAATATGTTCTTTTTTTTTGAAAGGAAGGGTTTTCGTCCTCAAGTCATCATGTTCATCTGCATCCTCCTCACCCCTAATTCTAACTCTGCTTCTAGTCATTAATTTCAGAGTCCCTCTGATGACTTGGTGCATCAGGTCTCCTAACAGAGACTTGATATACTCTTACCTACACATAGTACTGTCCAGCCCAGAAAGAATACTGCACTTGCCATTAGAAGACCTTGGTCCAGTCTTGGCTCTACTACTTAACAGCTCTATGATGTGGGCTAGCCAATTCATGCCAGTGATCCTCAAGTATAAAATGATTAACTTGGGTTAGGTGATTTTCAAGGTCTTTTGAGTTCTAATTGTAGCCTTTGTGTGTCTAGTCCAGGCTGATTACAGTCTCAAATCTTCTGAAAAATCAAATTGTGTAGCCCAGTTTTCAGTACACAAGCATCTTCCATTTATTGTCAAGGAACTCACGACCTCTTTTGATGAATATTTTTCACCTAACCATTTTCAGAGAACAGTTTGTCCAGAAGGACATAAGAGCAATGATATTAACATAAAACTTTTTCAAATATACCTGAATATGCTGCCTTAGCCCACTACAAATTTATGTTAACTTATCTCAACTAGACCCTCAGTAGTTAGGCAACTATTATATTTCTCCCTAATTGATTTGTTATCTCACTGGGTTAGCCATTGTAAACCTTATCACTCATCAAGCTTTTCATTGCACCCTTCCCCACTCTCTTAGTGGAGGACCTTCTCTCATACTTTTGAGAAAAAAAAATTAATCTATACCCATTCTTCTCTTCATCATCTTACATCATATACACATCTTTCTCCCATTATCTCCTCTTTCACTCTAGTGTCAGATAAAGAGATGGCCCTCCTCCTTCCCAAGCCAAATGTTTCTATATGTGCCCCTGATCTTCTCCCCTCCCTGACTTCTCCTGCAAATTGACCTCATTCTCATTCATACTCTTTCTTATCATTGATCTCTCCCTATCTACTAGTTCCTTTCCTACCTGTCTGCAGACAGGTCAACAACTCTTTCATCCTTAAAAACAAAACAAAACAAAACAAAACAAAAAAAAAAACTTTCCCCTTGATGTGACCATCCTAACTAACTATGTTCTATATCTGTCTTCCCCTCCTCAGTTAAACCTTTGGGGAAAAAACAAACAAATGGAAACAAAAACAAAAACAAAACCCTAGTATATCAAATGTACCAATCTCCTCTCCTCTAATTCTTCTTAACCCTCTGTAATCTGATTACTAACCTCATCATTTAACATAAACTGCACTCTCTAAAGCTACCAATGATCTGTTGATTGCCAGTGGCCTTTCCTCAACATTTATCCTTCTTGACTTTATGTAGAATTTGACTGTTGATCACCTTTCCCACCTGGATACTGGCCCCTCTCTAGGATTTTATGACATTATACTCTCCTAATCACCCTCCTATCATTCAGCTTCTTCTTACCATGTTTTGCTGGTTCTTTCATGTCATTCCCACTATTTGAAGGTGTTTTCCAAGGCTCTGCCCTGAACTCCTTTCTCTTTTCAATCTCTACTGTCTCACCTGATGATCTAATTAATTATCATCTATGTATGGATGATTTTTACTTCTGTATATCCAGCCCTAGTCTCTCTCCTTACCTTCAGTATTACTTCTTTCATTGACCTTTGAACATCTTGACCTTAATGTTCTGCAGCCATCTTAAACTCAACATACCCAAAATAAACTCATTTTCTTTTCTCCTAAAACCTTCACTTTTTTGAATTCCCCTCTCACTGTCAAGGGCACCAACATCTTTCCAGTTACCCAAGCCTGAATTCTCAGTATCTCCTGAATTCTTTTTTCTTAGTCACCCTGCATAAATACAATTAATTGCCATATTATGTAGGTGTTCGTTTTTTTTTTAACCTTCACAACATTTCTCTTTTTAGTCCTTTCTTTCCACTCATACAGTTACAACCCTAATTCAAGACCTTATGTCCTGTTGTCTGGATTACTGTAGTAATCTTAAAACTATGTTTCCTGACTTTTTCTCCCCACTCTAGTACATCCTCCAATCAATTGCCAAAGAAATTTTTCTAAAGTGTATGTCTGACGATGTCACCATCATCCTGACTCTATAAACCAGGATGGCTATCTATGACCTCCAGAATCCAATATAAAATTATCTTTTGTATTTAAACATCTTTACAACCTAGTCCTTTCCCTAGACCTTAGGCCTAGACTACTTGAAGTTTCTCAAACATGCTACTCTACCCATAGTCTCTGTTCCTTTTCATTGGGTGTCCTGCATGCCTGGAATACCCTAGCTCCATTTTGTCCACTTCTTAGTTGCCTTAGCTTCTTTCAAGACTCAGCTCCAAGCTCAGCTTTTGCAGGAGGTCTTTCCTGGTTGCGACAAGTACTTGATGCCTTCCCTTCTAAATTATGTTCCATCTGCTCTCATCTTCTGTGTATCTAGTTCTTTAAATGTCATTTTCCTTCTCTCATCACTCCCATTAGAATGTAGTTTCTTTGGAGGCATTGAATATTTTCTCTTTCTTTGTATGCATAGAATTTCACGCAGTACCTGGCAAATAGTAAGAGCTTAATAAATGTTTGTTAACAAGCTGTTTTTTTCTACTTGAGATTATATGGCCTATACGATTTAGTTTAGATTTTCCTTCACATTCTTCCTTCTGTCTCCTTTCTTCCCTTTCTCCTCTCTACTCTGCAACATCTATGTATTTTAGCTCCTCACTTCACCCTTCAGGGTATACTAATCCTCTCTGTTTTCCTGTCACTAGTCCTTAGTTTATCTTTCTGTAATTTTCATATTGGGAGGGATCTGATGAACTCAATCACCACAAATTGTCAATGATTGACTTTCCCTTTTCTAAAGTCTTTATACTTTAATAGAAAACAAAATCTTTAAAGGAATGGACATCTAATTGTAGAATTTGGCAAGGCTGGGTGGCTTGAAAATATGCCATTTAGGTTGTTGCCTCTTATTTCCGAAACTACTTATGTTACTGAATAACACAGATTTCTATGTACTGATGTGATATTAAACATTGAAGTGATATAGTTGAATTTAATTTGACAAACAGTTAAGTACCTATACCATCTCAAATACTATGTTAGGCATGAGCATACAAAGAAAAAAGAAAAAAAATGGTCCCCTGCCTGCAAGGAGTTTAATTTCTATTCAATGACTTTTTCTCCAAGAACCTTTAGAAATGGGATTTTTTTGGGGGGTAGTTAATACATGATCACAGTAGCTAGGTGGCACAGTGGATAGAGTGCCAAGTCTGCAGTCAGGAAGACTCATCTTCCTGAGTTCAATTCTGACCTTAGACACTTACTAGCTATATGACCCTGGGCAAATCACTTAACCCTGTTTGCCTCAATTTCCTTAGCTGTAAAATGAGCTGGAGAAGGAGATGACAAACCACTATGGTATCTTTGCCAAGAAAACACCAAAGGGGTCATGAAGAGTAGAACATGACTGAAAATGACTAAAAAACTAAAAGAGATGATCCTGAAGGAATGTGGACTGGAAGTCTTCTCAAGGTCACCCTCCTCAAGGCACCAGTCATAGGATTCTTTTATTTTATAACCATCATTATAATATATAATCTTTAAGAAGATGAAGGTTGGTGGACTGTGGCCTACCCTGGACTTCGATCTTAAATGGAGAAACAAAAATTAATGGCCCTGCCTCAGAGAAGAATGTAGTTCATTCACATGGCAGTGTGCCATTAGGTAACACTCTGTGATTTGTAGTGGCTGTCTCTACTTCCTCTGAAGTGAATGAACTATTTTAAGGAATAATAACATTGAATAGATAAACATAATAATAATAAATGATAATAATGGATTTCTCTGGACTTTCATATTTTTCAAAAGACTTTCATATGTAGCTAGAGTGTCTCATTTGACTTTGTGGTTGAAAATTCATAGTAATGGAAATTGCACTTATATGTATGTACATGTTGATATAGGCTTAACTTTTATTCCTCCTTCATCCCCCATTTTCTCTTGTGTTTTCCAGCTGCAGAAGGAATGGTATGTAATCTTCTGTGTTCAAGTGATGGCTGCTGGGGGCCAGGCCCAGACCAATGCTTATCCTGTAAACGTTTCAGCAGGGGACGGACTTGCATTGAGTCCTGTAATCTCTATGATGGGTAAGAAATCTTGCTCACTATCTTTTGTCCCATGAGTTCTCGGCTAGTTCCATCACCTAGGCTTTTTCAGACAATAGCAGCCTAATAAACTTTCAGAATGTGTATATTGCTCAAGGTTTTCAGTGAACATCGGATACATAACAGCCTTTGCTTGAGGGGGCAAATACTTTACAAAAATCTACAAAATATTTCTTTAGAAAGGAAAAAGAAGGCATATTTGAAATAAAATTTTTGAGTAATCCAAGTAAGATACCTAAAACAGTGTTGTCAGACTCAAATAGAAATGGATCTCTCGTGGCCACCCATTGACTTAAAACCACACACAAATTAAAATTATCTGTGTGTTATTGTATGTTTACTTATTTTGTTAAATATTTCCCAATTACATTTTACTCTGATTCCTGCTGCACTGGGGACCCATGCATCCAGTAGACTATGAGTTTGACAACTCTGAGCTAAAGCACACATTCTGAAACAATTTTGTGAGTAGCATGTAGGTCTGATTCAATAATGACAATTTAAATAGGCAGCTTGGATAATACATATAATTCCAGCATATTGCTTGACACATGGTTGTCTCTAGTCTTCTTCCTTTTCCCTGCCCTTAGAGTCTGCATTCTAAACTTTATATCCATGTTAAACTTCCCTGAATTGTTTATAAATGTACAGTGAATACCTCCAACCGTAACTTTGGGTTAGATCAGTAATAACAGTAACTGATTTTCCATACTGCTTTAAGGTTTACAAAATGTTTTATATACATTATTATCTTATGTGAATTTCATGACAACCCAGTCAGTTAGGCAAAAAAAAAATATTAATAATATTTTACAGATGAGGAAACTCAGGGCTAAAGAGGAGGGGAGGCAAACAAGTATTTATTAAGTATCTATTATATATCAGGTGCTGATATTACATATCAGGGCTTTTTTTTTTTGACAAATATTAACTCATTTGAACCTTACAACAACCAAGAGGTAAGTGCTATTATTTTTTCCATTTTACTGTTGTGGAAACTGAGTCAGACAGAGATTAAGTGACTTGCCCAGGGTCTCACAGCTAGTAAATTTCTGAGGCAGAGTTTGAACTCAGTCTTCTCAACTCCAACTCCCACACCCAATCCATTGTATCATCTAGCTTCATTAAGAGGTGAAGTGACTTGCCCAGGGTCAAACAGATATGGTAGTATCAGAGGCTCTATTCAGCCCAATTCTTTCTGAATCCAAGCCCAGAAACCTGTACTATCAAGCTGCTCTTCTATATCAATTAGTGCAATATTATCTACAAGATCTTGTGTTTGAGATGATCATTCTTTCAGATTCTTGATTGCTCATCTGCCACATAAATAGACCACAATGTTTGGTGGAGAGTTACCGTGAGAGTCTTTCTTTGAAATGTTCTGCTACTAGGATTGTAGCAACAAGCTACAAGGACGCATTAATCCCTACATTTTAAATTATTTTCTATTTTCCCCTCAGGACCTACAGTCACCTTATTGGAAACAATAAAATCAACCCTGTACCTTGTTGCATGGCATTTCATAGACTCATGAAATCAGTTTATCATATTGTGTCATTTCATGCATCCTGGTTGGCCCTCATTAGGAATGACAAGGCTTTTATTTTTGTTGTTGATTCCAAATCAGGTGTTTTCATATGGTAAGCTGCAAAGATTTTCAAAAGTCAGATTTGCTCTGCCTGATTTTAATGCCCCATGTCCCCTGTCTTCCTGTAAACCTAACAAATTATCACACACCGGACCCTTTTTGTTTACACTAGTCTCAGAGAACTTTTATAGTTGAGCATATGGTAGTTGAAGGGTACAAACCTGCATATCACTGTGATATAGTTACACTAGTCTTTTGGAAAGAAAGCAAAGCTTATCCTATGAAATGAGGAAAAGATGAAAAAGAAATGTTTAAATATGAAAACAAGACCTCCATATTATTTTCTAAAACATCAGTTACCATTGAGACCAAGTATTGCAACACTTGACATATTTTCTCCTTCTGAATTGTCTTCTTTTGTGTTCTTCATATAACTAGTATGAAGAGTTTTTACCTGATAGGTTACAGAATGAAGGGATTTTTTCAGAAGAAGCAACATAAAAGGTTATGATGGCACGGTGGATAGGTTTTTGGAATAAGGAAAACTTGGATTCAAATCTTTACTAGCTGTATGATTCTCAGCAAGTCTTTTGTCTTCTGTGTGCCTCAGTTTCCTTGTCTGCAAAATGAAGGAAATAGAAACAGTGATCTCTTAGTTCTGTTCCAACACTAAATCTATGTGCCTATGACACATATTCCTGAGAAAGAAGATGGCCTGAATATGTGGTAAGAACAAGAAATAATTTATACACTGTTTATTGTCATATTGAAATGCCAATAGAAGATAAGGATGACCCCAGGATTCTGGTGGATCCTCTGTGCCTAGTTTACACAAAAACATAGAAGTGAGTCATACCACATGGGTAAGCATTGAGAGGTTACGATCTGCATCTTTGGAGAAAATACTCAAAAAATAGTTGGAGATTCAGGACAAGAGGTCAGAAGAAAGGTTAGCATTGACTTTTTTTTTGCATAATGAAAGAAAAGTAATCTTTAATTGGGGGAGGTTAGGTTTTAAAAATAGAATTATATTGATAGACTATGTTTTGTAAGACTGAAATCTTGTTGTCTGATGTTATCAGGAAATAAATTATTATAGGCAAAAGAATTTCTAAAGAATCTAAGGGCATACTTTTGAAAAATTCAATTTAACTTAATAAGCACTTATTAAGTACCTTCAATGTGCTAGTACTATGCTAGGTTCTAGGAATAAATACAAACTTAAAAATGTGTACAGTCCACATATTAAACAAGGAAGCATTCTACTGGGGGAGGAGGCTTGTTGTTCTTCTTGTGTTTGTCCTTCTTTCTTCAAGAGTACCATGACATCAGGGAGATGATGACATGATTTTCAATTGATTTTGTTTTGAGTGAGGGAGGGCTGTGCAAGGTCACCAGCCTCACTTTCTCCTCCAGAGCCATCTGGATCCAAGGGCCAGATATTCATCAGGATGCTTGACAATAACTCAGGATGCAATGGGAGACCCAGGCCCTTTTAAGTTAAAGTCTTTTCAGGTTCTCACTTTGAGTGAGGCAACCCCCCATTCAGTGAATAAGCCTCTTGTAGAAGTAAGTCAATGGATGGCCCCTTTAATAATTAAAAAAAAAAAATCAAGCTGAGAGGGAAAGACCATCAGGGTTTCTAGCCAAAAGAGAAGCAGTTACTATTTATATTCACTCTGAGCCTGGAGGGCCCAAAATATAACCATTAAGTGGTGCTTGGGCAGGGACCTATTGTTGTCCAATCTATGAGTTCCAAAGTGAATTGAGTTTAAGGCTTGGTTTTTGAGAAAGAAATTTAGCCAGTAAACCCCAAGTTAAGTAGTCAGTTACAAAATATTAAGAAATAGGTAAATACACTTAAATAAAAAATTAGAAAATGGGTAAAGGTGCACTAATAAGTAGAGAAATCAGGAGAAGCCTTTTAAATAAAATATTATTTGAGAGAAACCTTGAGGAAGATAGAGGCTGACTAAAATATTTGTAAGGACAGAAAACATTCCAGGCATGGAGAGTAATATATGTGAAGGAACAAAGATGGTAGCTGGAAATTAAGTGAAGAGCACAACAAATAAGCTAGAACAGGAGGTCTTAACTTGGAATATATGGAGACCTCTAAGTAGTCTGTGGATGCATTTCAGGAGGTCAATGAACTTGGACAGGAATAATTACATATTTATAATAATAACAACATCAATGATAATATCTGGCACTTTAAGGTTTGCAAACCACTTTGCAAATATTTTATTATGTCATTTTGTTGAGGTTTAGGGGTGCTGGGACCCCAGTATTATGACGCGAATCTTGCCAGAAAGAATTTGACCAAGCCTTCTTTCAGCCAATGACAAGGTTTATTAGAACATCTGTCATATTGGGCAGACTCTTAGGAGTCTGAATGTTAGTGAGCTATTGGCTAGATTGTAAGAATCAGAGCAATGGCTAGATTATAAGAATCTAAGCACCTCAATGGAGACAAGATGGACTTTATATACAGAAAGACTGTGGGAGTGATCTAGGAGTGGCCCAGTAGTTTGGGGTGACTGGAGGAGAGGGTCTAAGGAAGATCCAGATGGGAGTAGCCAGTAAGCTGGGGTGAACAGAACTCCTGGGATCTGGACCTTCTGGCCAAGGGAGAATGGAGCCTAGCTAGGATTAAGGGTGAGAAATGGCTGGGGGCCATAGGGAGATAAGACAATAGAGGGCTAGCCTAGGTGAAGAGTAACAGAATTGGGAGATTGAGTGTAGCCACAATGAAAGGCCAGTTGATAGGATTATAGCCTCAGGCCGAATGTCAGAGATTTGGCCATGTGGAAAAGCGGATTTTTCCTTTTTCAAGTCTAGATCCTATCCTCATCAATTTCATCCTCAAACTTTTGGGAGATAGGTTATATTAGCCCAGTTTATATATAAGAAACTTGAGACAGAGCTATTCACAATTAGCAAATATCTGCAGCTAGATTTGAACTCAGTCTTCCTGACATCAGGACCATCTTTGTACCCACTGTACCACCCAGCTGCTTCTTTTTTTCCCACTAATCTCCAGCTGAAATTTATCATTCCCTTCGATTCTAAGGGAGGTACTAAATGTCATTCTGAGAAGAGGTTCGTAGGATTTTCCAGACTGCTAAAGTGGTCTGTAGCACAAAAACAGTTAAGAACTCATGGGCTAGAAGGAAATATATGTGAGGGAGAGTATTAATGTGAGTAATGTTAATAAACCCTGAGAGGGAAGCTGGATCCAAATTGTGAAGAGCTTTACATGCCAAACAGCTGAGTTCATATTTTATCATAGAAATGTTAGGGAACTCTGAAGCTTCCTCAGCAGGATTGGACCTGAATTTTAGGAATATCATTTTGGCAGCTGTGTGACAGATGCAATTATTCCATAGTTACCAGATGTGGGATGCGGATTATCCTTTTAATCACTTTTGTAAATTTGTAGGTGGAGTGGGAGGAATGGTCTCTTACCTTAGTCTCTCCTTTGAGTCGCTACTTTGAGGCACTGGGATCTTTAAACTGGGGAGCCCCTCCCCCATACACTTCAATTTGTTCTTTACCAGGCTGGTGGGAGGTCAACAATGTGTAAAACACAGGGCACTTTATAATAGGAGATTTGAATATTGATTCTCTGGTTTTCAACCATTGAGTGTCCAAGGATCTCTGGCTGAGTGTTGACTCTAGTGGAAAGCTATGCTTCCTGCCAGCATCATGTGTACTCATTTAATTCCACACCCTCCACCATCCCATAACTCGTTGTAATTGATCTTTAGCTACCTTTGCAAATGTACCATAAACAACAGAAGTTGATACATGAAAGTCACATGATTATGATAAAGGCAAATACCCACAATTTAGGAGGAGGTAGAACATTAATTATCAGATGTCATAATTAAAAAGTTGAAAGGTTTTCCCCTAAAAAAAAAACTTTCATATTTATACATGAAGATGATTTAATTCAAATGGCTCTAAATGGGAAAGTATGATAACTAAGTCAGATCAGTTTTTAAAAAAAAGTTCAGCACAATGAGGAGGAATTCCTTCTAGGAAGGTGCATTAGCAACTGCCTCTCAAAAGGCATTACCTGGGGTTTTGAGAGATAAATTGATTTATCCACAGTCACACAATCAGTATATATCAAAGGCAGAACTTGAATCCAGGTCTTCTTACCTCAGAGGCCAACTCTTGATGATAATGATGCTGATAGATTTATATACCATTTTAAGGTTTGCAAACCACTTTACCATTATCATCTCATTTTATTCTCACTGTATCTCTGGGAAAAAGGTAGTCTTATTATTCCCATTTTATAGATGAGGAAACTGAGGCAGATAAAAGCATCATGTAGAAGTATCTGAGGCAGGATTTGAACGCAGATCTTTCTGACTCTAGGTCCGTTATTCTATTCAGTACGCAATGCTGCTTCTCAATAATACCAGTAATAATAGCATTAATATTACTGATATTAGATCAGCAATCTAAGAAAACAAAATCTATCATATTAAGATTTTCTTCCTACTTTATCTTCCAATGGCAGATATTTTAAAACTGGAGGAAGTCCCTTTTTGAAGACTCATCAAAAATAATTTGAAAAATATTGAGTTTTGAGGAGTCAGTAGCTTTCATGTAACATAGCAACAGAAAAAATATAAATATATAGTAGTGCAATAGCTATCTTCAGGTATTAAAATATATTAAGCTTTAGCCTCAAGTATTTTTTTTAATGATTTTTAAGTTTGTTGCTACCCAGAATCATTAATTTTAAGCAAAATGATAAAAATGGTTTTGCCTTCTCAATGAAACCTTCACTTTTGAAGTAGAGGCTGAATTGAATCATATTACATGAGAACAAAGCTTTCCCCAATGTGAACCGAGTGTTCTATCTAGTAGAGAATATGGAGAGCCATCTGGACATTTGTATTTTCCCCTAATGGAGAAGTTATTCCTTCATATACAGAAAAAATTTTTTTTCCTAAGTTTTTAGCATATACAGAAACTATTTACCTTGCAGTAGGACTTTTTAGCAGATGTTATTATGTATCTCACATTGATAGCCTCTTTACTCACTTCTCCTCATGTGACTGATGTTTTTTCAGTGAATTTCGAGAGTTTGAAAATGGTTCCATCTGTGTGGAATGTGACCCCCAATGTGAGAAGATGGAAGATGGCATCTTGACATGCCATGGACCGGTAAGCATGAAGTAAAAATGATATCATAACATCCCTGTCGCTGTGCATTTTAAAGGACATACAAATATGCTTATGATAGCATTGTTTCATTTATTCATTCATCTAATCTTTATTGAACCCTTGCTGTGATACAGTACTTTCACAGATACCAGAAAGGAGTGAATACTACAAAAGCATGTAAGATAAATTTCCTGTTCTCAAGAAGCTTATAATCTAGTAGTGGAAATAAAATCACAAATAATGAAACTCAAGCAGTGTAGTTATAATGTGCCATTAAAAATGGTACAAACTAATTGTATCAATTGTTGTGGGTGTTTGTAGAGAGGAAGGACATTCTCAACAGGGAGTGATCAAGAAAGGCTCCATAGGAGACAAGGACTTGAGAATAATGTAGCATACAGATAAGCACTGCTTATTTGACAATTACACTTAAAGGACATCCTTCTTTTTTGTGATAATTCACCCATGAATTATTCTAATTATTATTATTAAAGTCACCGTGGCTTTTTCATCCCAAATTTTCATACTAAGCCATCACATCACAATTCAAGGGATGAGTATTATCAAATCTCACCTATCTTTAGGTATCTACAAATGTTGGCAGCAAAGATTTCCAATGTAGACAAACATTAATCCAAAAGGAAACATTAAAAATTTAAATATTTTCCCATATTTGTTTTGTTTATCACCAAATTTAGGAAACATCTATAATTTTCCTTTTCCATTTGATCTGACCACAAATTTATGCTAGCTAGGCTGAATTGGGCTTTTACCATAACTCAGCAAATCATTTGTTCATTCTTCCAAACCTTTCACTCTCTCCTTAATTCCAACCATAACCCTATCCCTCACTCAAAATAAGTAACTTTGACTTTTTTAAAAGTAAAAAAAAAAATTTTTAAATATTTGTTCTCTAAACTGACTCGCTTACCAATTTAAAACACATCCTCTCTCCTTTTCTCCCCTCTACCCTCTTTCCAGTGTTAACTTCTTTGGTCCTTGAGTCCTTAGTCCCAATGTTTCTCATCTCTTTTATAACCTTGCTTCATCATCTATCCCCTTAGTTTCTTGCACCTTTAGTCTTTCTGTGTCTAAGGATTGGTTGGAGCTGTCATTTAATTTATGTAGGAAACTCCCAGATGAGGATACTTATTCTATTCATGCAGATCACTACTTTCTCTGAAACTTAGAGGCCTAGAAAGTTGCCTAGGTCAGTAGGAAATCAGATGAGTTACCCAGGATCACACAACCATTAAATGTCATAAGTGAACCTCTTTCTGGCTCTGAGGTCAGGTCTCTACTGCCTTTCTTTTTCCATATATATTTTCCCTTTCCTAAGAAAACCATTTCTTGACTCAGTCTCTTCTTCAAACTTTATATTGTCCTTTTGCATTTCAGGGCCAAGTTTCTAGAAAGAGTGATGTCTATTCTACTTTTTCATGATTCACTTGCTCTTTAACCCTTTCTTATCTAGACTCTATCTCCCAGTTTCTGATTCACTTTTATTGAGCTCCTCAACAGCATGATCTGTCTTTTCCCCTTTCTTTGTATCACTAGCACTTAATAGAGGGCTTCACATATAGTAGATGCTTAATAAATGTTCTACCTATCTGCAATTTATGATCTTTAGGTGGTGGGACTTTGGATCCATGAATCTCATTAAAAACAGAGACTAGTTTTATAACAGAAATATTTAAGGAAAAGAAGAAAGCTCATAGACTTCTGGGAGAATTTCTTTTTTATATTATATTTATTTGTTCCTATGTATTATTCTTCTCCAAATCCTAGTAGATTTTTAGCTCGTTGAGGTAGGGACCATATCTTACTATCTTCACCTGTGCTTGGCCTGTTCCCTAGCACAGCTGAATTGAATATAAGCAAAATGGCAGTAGGTTGTATTACAATCATTGTTATTACAATATAACAAGCAGTAACCAACTTTATTGTTTTAGTGTAGATAGTCTTGGAATTCTCAGACATTATATGGTAGATCTTGGATAGTTTAAGAGAGGATTTGCTTAAGAAATTTCAATTTTATTATGCCTGGGTACAGGCAGCATTAAGATAGCAGTAACCAGTCAGGTCAGGAGGAGGAGCACAGGAAATCCAGTTGCAGGGGTATCTGAAGGTCAGGAATATAGTTACTCTGGAAAGGCTTAAACAATCTGGAAAGTTTTGAAGGTCAGATCAAGGAGTCGTTCGAGTCAAGGGAATCAAAGGGCTTGAGTGATCTAGCAAGGTGATAGGTGGTGAGGTTTCAGGGAGGTCAAAGCCTTTGGTCTAGTGAGCAGAAAGTTCTGATTATAGGTTAGTGTGTTTTTATTCTGAATTTTCACAGTCTAAGAAAGAGACAGTTCTGAAGCAGCATGAATACTATGGCTGATTCTATTGATGATAGAGATACAATGTTATGGAAAGTTTCTTTCAGCATTAGGAGTGGTAGTGTGTGCCTCTAGGCCACTCTGTAACCCACTGTTCTCTTCCCTTTTATCTAGTTTGGTTGTTGTTTCTCCCTGTAAGTATTATTAAGATGTGTGTGAGACAACCTACTGCTTTCCTTTGGTTTATTTTGTTGATTTATAAGTAGGCAGCTAAGTGGAATATTGAGGACAGAGTATCAAGTGCATTCAGGAAGATCTGAATTCAAATCCAGCCTCAGACATAGTTGTATCATGGTGGGCAAGATGCTTAATTTCTCCAGGCCTTAGATTCCTCATCTGTAAGATGAGGGCTCAAACCCCTCCAAGATGTCTCCATTTATGACCCTATGGCTCTTACAAAATTGTGTCTGAAACAAAAATCTAAGAGAAGGCAGCTCTGAGAGGGAATTCTCAAAGGTCACTTACCTAATGGAGGGTGTTGCAACCGAAGTGCAGGCTTTTATTTTTTTTTAATCCTTCAAGATACTTATAGCACACTGAAAAGGAACCCCATTTACTAAATCACACATTCAATGAAAAGAGTGCTGAACCCAGGATCTGAATTAAAATCCCACTTCTACCACTTAATGCCTTTGTAATCTTGGGCAAGTCTCTTACTCTCTATGGGCCTCAGTTTCCTCAACTGGAATAATAAAGAGGGTAGAGTAAATTAGCTCTGTAGTCTTTTCTGGCTCTATGACTGTCGTTCTATGAGCCCAGCTCCACTACATTCAAGGAATCTCTTCTTCCTAGAAGCTCACTCCAGCCTTAGAATTGGCATATTGGAAGTATCCTCCACTCCTGAAGCCTCCAAAACTTATTGGTTGGCTGTTGCTAGAACTTTCACATAAGGAAGGCACTTGGCCTAGCCTTGTCTTTATTCACCTCTCAACTATATTCCTGACTCTCCCACTTAGACCCACATACCCCTATCATTTTGCTTTTTTAAGCTTTTTGTTTTCCCATTAGAATGGATGTTTCTTGAAGAGAGGGCTGGCTATCTTTCTGCCTCTATTTGTAATTATACTAATTAGCTCAAATGCCTGGAGCATAGTAAACTCACAAAAATGTTTATTGATTGGCAAGACCTTCAGGACAGTCATTGCTTTATATAAGTGAGGTTGAGAACTGATATGAAGGGATGGGCAACTATGTGGTCTACTAACCATAGCTATGGTGCTGTATTCATTTGTCTGTCATATGATGCATGGATTCATCTGGATTAGAGACAGAAGCCATCTGGATTAGAGACAGAAACCAAGAGACAGAGGCAAAACTATAAAGGAGAAAAAAAAATTGAGAGACAAGAAAAATAGTTTTCTAAATCCTTTTTAGATACAAGTTTTGCTTACTTATCAGAGAGAAATAGTACTTCTTCACTTAGAGATATGCAGTCTGTACCTTCTGGCTTTCAGCCAATCCTCAGATGGTGATCTAGATTTTTGAGTTAAGAGGTGGCCTGGAGTCAAAGATAAGAAGAGGATATTGTCTCCACTTCCATTTTCACTCATCGTGTTTATCAGTTCATTCAAAGCACTTGGGTTCTTTGGGGGTTTAAGTCAAAATAATCAAAGTTTAAGTATGTAAAATGAAATCTTAACCATCTGAGTTCCTTTAAATTTCTTTCTGATGGTAATGAAATTGGAAGTCAGTTTTCTTTTTCTTTGACTTTTTTATCATTTGTTGAATTTTGTCATGTTTAGAAATCCACTTATGCTTTTAAAAAAAATCATGTTTATCTAAATCAATTGTTTAGAGACATTTAGAAAACTGGGCAGATAGAACAGACCTTACCTGATCATATTTAAAGCTCAAATGCAAATGGAATTTGAGTTTAATGCTTGTTTTGCCTTTGTCTCTTTTGCCCAGCCGGTTCATTTTTACATTATATGATTCTTAATCCAGCACAGAAAAACCCAATTGACTCATAGTAAGCCTTTCTTTCCCCCAAGCTCAGCAAGAAGACATCAGCAAGTCTATTTGTCTTGTAGGATAAATTAGCTGTATTACTGTGCATGCTTGTGCAGTAAATGATTTCTTTTAATAGGCAACAATATGTACATAACTGCCCAAGAGCAGGTGTTATCATTGGAAGCATGAAAACTGTTCTTTTTGGGGAGGGGGTAAGAAGTCATCATTAGCAGTCTCATCCTGATAAATAGTTATTAGTATTCACAGACTAGGCATTCTTACAGCTATGGGTAGGAGGCCAGAAGGGCAGCTAGATGGCACAGTGGATAGAGTAGATGAGGTCTAGAGGTTAGGGGTCTTGGAATCCCAAAATCACGACCCATGGATCCTGCCCGAAAAAATTCGACCCAAGCCTTCTTTCAGCCAAAAACAAGGTTTATTGAAGACTCGCCATATTAGCTAGACTCTTAAGGAATCTGAGCATCTGTGGGCTATTGGCTAGATTGTGAAAATCTGCGCAGTGGCTAGATTATAAGAATCTCAGTCTCTTAATGGAGACAAGATGGACCTTATATACAGAAAAACTGTGGGAGGGATCTAGGAGTGGCCAAGTAGTTTGGGGTGACTGGAGGAGGGGTCTAAGGAAATCTGGATGGGAGTGGCCAGTAA